CAAAAAAAAAAAATATATATATATGTATATGCATAAATAAATATATATTGCATTTTGTATGCATATATATTGTATATATATATAATACATAAATACAATATATATGCATAAATATATACATAAATAATACTTTCATTTTTATAATAAACTTAAAGTTATAATATAACATCAATATATATCAATGTAGTATTAAAAATAACCGTTTATATATCTATAAAATCAATATATAAATTATATATAAATTAAATTAATATAAAATAACAATAAACTAATATTAATTATAATATATAATACATTAATATATTTAAGACAATAGTTTTTGTATCTGAAATATATACATTTATAAAGTTTTTCAGTCTACTATGACAGCATTTTTGCAAATGACAGCAATTAAGGCGACTTTTATTGCAACATAAAGCCAGGGGAATTTATAATAGACAATAACCAGAGGTTTGTCTCACCAGCAGCGCGATGTCAACCGTGGCGAAGAGCGCTTTACACACCGCGCAGGACATGTTGCGCCAGCTGAACCCGAGCTCAACCCGACCGAACTCCTCCACGAAACTCAGCTTGGCCGATTCTGTTCCTACTTCAAGAGGGTATGAGGAACCCGACGGCGCCGAAAACAAAGTCCAGACTGTGAAAACAGCGCAGACCCCGAACACTGGACGCTTCATCCTGGACGCGTGATGAGCTACACTGCAGCGGTAAACTCTCATCAGTCCCCCGGCACAACATCAAGTCTTTACCGTCTTTAAATAGAAGTAGTGTTACGCTTGGGCTGTATGTATAAATAAAACAAGAATCAGAATAACGCGAATCCGCGTCTTTTAAGGCAGTTGTGAATACTAATCCGTGTTTTGACAGTACTACAGACTGCATAAAAGGACAATACACGTTCCGCGCGACTGACCAGTTTATATACCGTCAGCTGACGGATCACGTGACATGCTGACAACGCAGCTGACAAATCACGTGGCCACTCGCTTTTGTAAACATGAAACCAAACAATCTTTTATAGATTAGTATGTTGTACAATAATTCGACGTCTATTCTATTAAATTATTCAAAAATAGACTGCCCAGAGACTGTATATGGAAAAAGCAAAACAAAAACCTCTTAAAAGACTGAGAAATTCTGAACTGAAACTGAAAATGGTGGCATAGGCTTTAAAATATTGTAAGTGAAGCAGTTTTGTTTAAAAATAATATTGCCATTTGAAAAAAACGTGTGTAACTATCATTCAGGAATTTTGTAATGTGACGTAACCAAAAACATGACTTTCAAATTTGACTCTTTTATATGAATATATATATATATATATA